TTTACTTGTGATATTTACATGGATTGTTTTCGTCAAACAAACTGTACCGCTTTAAAAAACCAAAGAGAAGCGACTGCGAAGAAGATGGCAGATGAGTGAAAAGTAAAGAGTGGTTTATATTTCCCTTTATCATGCCGTGCTGAGCTGTCTGACATCCAGGCAAGGTCTTTACAGACAGACAAACCCCCCAACCCCCAACCCTCACCCACGATGAGCACAGCACACAAAAGTGCAAACTACATGGATTCAGAAGAAAAATAGAAAACAAAATAAAGTTTCATAAAACTTTCTGTGATATATATTTACAATAACATGATTTTAGCCAAATACAGGTATACGTTTATATCAAAGCAAAGCATTCCCCTCATCTGCTCGATGGCCTTTGACATGCAGCAACCTTTGCGTTCCTCCTTGCTAAGATGGACTTCCACCCCTCCACTTTCAGAATGTCACAACGCATCATGTTCCCGTTACAGAGGCTGGCCAAACACAGTCTGAGCTTCAATCTGTCATGCTAGACTGCTTATCCGAAAAACTGCTAAAGAACACAAACATGGTGGCTACATGAGATTAATATTCATATAATATAATGCAGGACAATCAGAATCATGAATCATTTCACTTACGTCTGAAAGCTGATAACAACATTATAGTGGTGCCACTTTAAGACCCATTTTTGAGTGTTGCAAATCTGGGGGTGGAGAGAAAGCCTAGTTTAAATTCCCGACTGCTCAGACAAAAGCCTATCAGGATTCATTTGGAGAAGCAGGTTTGACAGTTGGTAAAGCTGGCACAGATGAGGAGAAGCAACGTGAAGGCTCATAAACTGGGGAATATGCCACCTGAGACCTCCAGTTGCTGGAAAGCAAATCAAGAAGCCGGAGGAATTTAAGACAAAGCATCCTATCCTCCACCGAGCTGCTCATATAGCAGCGGAGGGAATTTAAATGGAGGAGCCTAGAGCTCTGGCTCGATTTAAATCTTGTTATACGTCCCCTCCTCTCCCACTACTCTCTCAGGTTCCCTTGAAAACTGTGTTAGAGCACTGTTTGTGTGTGTGTGTGTGTGTGTATTGTCTCCTGGGCTATGCAATGGTTATTTTTGTGCTCCCTTTGATGGGGAGCACCATCAGTCAGTCGTAATGCCCCCCGACATTACATCCATCAAATGTATTCTGAAGGAACAGAAATAACAAGGCTGACTGTTTGGGCTTTCGGTTCACTGTGTACTGTGTACTGTGTGTGTGTGTGTGTGTGTGTGTTTCTGTGTGTGATGGGAAGCTGTCAATACACAGAGACCGGTGCATGGCTATATTCAAAGACAGCATTGCCAGGCATATAGCTTCCAGAGGACTAGATGAGTATGGATTATGGACAGGCATTGTCTCGAGACACCGCTGCCACTAGCGAAGACAAGATTGCTGCCTGTGAAACTGAATTAAATTCAATAATAGGCATATACTGTAAGTCACAGAAATAAAATAACACTGTGTGTCTGCACTGCAGCCTTATCCATTCAGATAGGTTATGTCTGGCTGGTCCCCCTATTCTTCTCCGTTGAATGAGCGGCTAACATGAGAATGTGTGGGTGTGGCCCTGAAGTTTTGTACCGAATTAAAACACATCAGCTTCCCTGGCCCAATACAAACCATCTTGTTCTCATTGAAAAGGCATTTCTTTCCTCATTGGACATCTTACCACCACCACCATTGTCTATTAAATTAAACGACATCATGTGCGTATATCTATCCGTATGTACAATATAAAAGAACACTTTGACTACATAATGTACATTACTCCCTTGGCATAGATTGTTGTCTCATGTACACACTCTGCATTGTGATTGGGTTACATATAATCACACAGGATTGGCTTACGCCCCTCTCTCTGTGTTTTGTCTGTAGATTCCCAAAGCTGGATCAACACAGAAAACTCAAACCACTTCATTCACGATAAGGACAGAGAAAGAAACCGTCAAAGGGGATAGGGATTGCAAAGGTAGACTAAATTGCCTACTTGTCCTTTTATTCTAAACTTTCATTCAAACTGCACTGGGTCTGACAGATGTACAACAAATGGGATGGCTGATGCCAAAGCCTGGCCAACGTACTGAGCAGCCATCAACACAATGAGACAGTAATCGAGTGCCACTCTGTTGTTGTGGACCCAAAGGAGAGTACCTACCAGGGGTGGAACCATGCACACTGTACAATACAAGTCCCTAAAATCATACTCATTCCTCCTTTCACTCATCCACAGTATTTGGGAGATTAACTTCAAGGTCATTTGTGCCTCTGTACCTATCTTTGACTTCCTTCCATTCAGTACCTTACAAAGCAAATACAATTATTGTAGCGACCATATTTGTTCAACACACATTCATGGCGTTTTTGACAGGTTTTGGTTTCAGTAACATTGCTAAACAGCGGAGGTAAATAAAATGATTAAAAAAGCAACGATGACCCATCCTGGGGATTGGTGGCACTTCTTCAGGCTGAGACACAGCTGTCTGTCACCCTTCACAACGTTCAGACATGCGCCGGTGGGGGGAGTAAAATAGAAATAGAATAGATACTAAGCCCCCCTTGTCTTAAAGTTATTCTTATCCAGTATATTCAGTCATGTATCTCTATGTACTGTACTTTAACACTTAATTCACCCATATGTTAATTTGGGGAGGAGTTTCCATACCATACCTAACTTCAGTCCTCGGGGGCCTTATTGGTGTCACATTTTTGCCCCAGCCCCAGCTAACAAACCTGACGCCAATAATCAACTAATCATGATCTTCAGTTTAGAATGCAATTAGTTTAATCAACTGTGTTTGCTAGGGACGGGGGGGAAAGTGTGACACCCCTCCAGACCTGGGAGGCCGGAGTTGCCCATCTCTGATGTAGGATGTCCACAGAGCTGAGAGAGAGGATGTGGAGAGAAAAATAAAGGTTTCATCAGAACTCTGATTACCATGTCAGTGATACATCCTATGAATGTGGCTAAAGTTTCTCCTGTTGAGAAAAGCAGATAAGCTGTTCTCTGAATGGGGTCAGGACCATGGAACATGATGTGTCTTAGATGTCGTCATGGAGTCCGTAAAGGATCACAGCGCGTCTGGAGCACAGGAGGCTGCTGAGGGGAGGATGGCTCATAATAATGGCTGGAATGGAGTGAATTGAATAGTATCAAACACATGGAAACCATGGGTGTTTCTCAAAATGCATACTACCTTGCTCCGAGCACGCAAATTGGAGAACGGGAGGGTCGGAGTATGAGTCCAAATCAAAGTATGCGAAACGGAGTGCGGAGGGCACTTCTCGAATGTGTACTCTGTTAATACATATTTTGAAGCATGCATCGATCCAAGCTTCAACAGAAATTATGCAAAGAAATATGACGCAACCATGTGAAAAATGACACAACATTTCTTGAATTCAATGGCAGCCATTATTTGAGCTGAAGCGAGAGAAAATACACTCCGACTTCGGAATTAAATGTTGCCTATTCACATCTCATATGTTGCCTGACTATAATATTTTATCTTGATAGGTTAATAAATACATGTTGTGTTAATTTTGGCATGTTTACCTGCCTACGTCCGTAGAATGCAAGCCCATAATAAGTCAATAGGGCAAACTAGATAGCTACTACTGTTAGCTAGCCAGATAGCCACGAAGAATTGTTAGCTAGCTACCCACAAAGAATTGACATCTACGTTGCATAACATTAGTTTTAGGTCCTTTTTGCCTGTTAAACTATGTGGTTAACTACATTATTACGACTCACATATAGCTTTGTGTATATCTTGTTTCATCTCTGTTGCCATTGTCCTGGCTGGAAGAAGGTTCAGTGAATGGGTAAATCCATAGTAAGTCAGTAGGGCTAGCTAGCTAGCCACGAAGAATTGGTAGCTAGCTACCAACTAAACATTTTTCCCTGTTTAACTAGCTGGCTAGATAGAGTACTACGATTCACATATTTCTAGCTGATAATTATTAGGTAAAACGTTTGCTTTATTTCTATATTGTTTCGTCTATTGTTGCCATTGTCCTGGCTGGAAAAAGGTTCAGTGAATGGGGAGATGCAGCGTGAGGTAATACAGTAGGGGGAGTGCTTCTCAAATGTAATGTTTTATGCGTTCTCCACACTCTCTTCCTCACAAGAACGTACTCAAGAGAACATCACTTGGAGCATGAGAGTGTGGAGCACGGTAGTATGCATATTGATATATTTGATGTGTTCGATACCATTCCATTTATTCCATTCCAGCTATTTCTATGAGCCCGTCCTCCTCAAAATTAGGTGCCACCGGCCGCCTGTGGTCTGAAGGGGTGATCTAACGGTTTCTCTCCTCACAGGGAAAACAGTCTGCTCTCTGTCAGAGGGCCAGGGGTATGTATGTGGGTGTGTGGTTTGTAGCAGGAAGCTCCGGTGTGTCTGCCTGCTGGGATTGGTGCGGTTGGATGAGTTAGAGGCGTAGTTCTCTCTCAGTATTTCATGCCCTCATCCCTCCGTCAAGTCGTCAGCTGCGTGTCTCCATCGGCATCTGGCTCTGACTTTGGATCTCTCTTTTCTCATCCCATCCCTTCTTTCTTTCTTTTTCTCTGCACTCCTCCCGTCCTTTTGATTTGATAAATAAATTAAAGCTCCACTCGGGGTTTCCTTCCACCTCACCACACACAGCGCTGTGCTCGCTCACTGCTTCCCATGCCTTCAAAGTTGAAAGAAAAGTGTAAAAAGAAGTTTAGCCGAGAGACATAAACAGAAATGTTCTGTCTCTGTTTTTTTGTTTTGTTTTGTTGTTTTTTATTCAGTAGGGGGCAAGCATTTCTTATTTTCCCTTTTTAAGTATGCATTCATTAAAAGTTTTTTTGGATTTATATAATTGATTATTTTAATTACATCCTTTTACTAGTAGCATTTCATTGTTTAACGGAAGAGTTTGTGTCTTTGAAGGGGGGGGGGTCTTACACTTCAACACAGCCAGGATGGGTTCTCTTCTCCTTCCTACACAGTTTGAAAGGCCTTGGTCTGGGCAGGGACCATGAGAGTGGGGGGAGTGGGCCCAGACATCTGGTTCCTGGAGTTGATGTTGTATTTGGGGGTGCCGGGGTGCTCAGGGGTCTTGTTGGGGGTTACCACCGTGGTGTAGGCTGGGGGGGACTGGGGGAAGTCAGGGGGCTGTCCGTTCTCCTTCAGGGCAGCAATGGCTGGGAGGCGAGGGCGGTGCCCGCGGGGGGCGGTGTTGTGCACCATGGACTGTGTTGAGGAGGCCCCGGAGCGGGAGCTGCCAGAGCGGGACGAGGACAAGGAGTTGGGCTTCACCAGCTTGGCCTTGGGAGCCTCTGCATCCTCCCTGTATGGAGACATACAGCAAAAACAAATAAGAGCTACTTAGATTCGGCCAGTCGTGACCCCAAGCATGCACACAGAGACAAACATAAACTTAGACAAAGTCTACGGCCTTTCTGAGGAAATCCAGTGGAGAAAACTGTCTTATACAATCAGGGAAAAGGGTTTGGTGATGCTCCACTGCACTTGCTGCATTATCATCTGGGTCTGACACAGTGTCTAAATAAAAATAGTCTTATTCGTCTTGGTCTAAATTCACCACATTACACCGGCGCCACCGTCACCAACCCCACTTCAGAAAACTACGTCACCTAGCCTGCGAGCTCCATCCCATCCCGCCCGCTCAGTGGCTAAACATGGCATGTAAACAGGAAACACCTCCCCGTAGTCTGCATTATTTACTACACAGTCTTCCCCAGTCAAGCTGCATTATTCATCTGAACACCGGCAAATAAGCAGCTACACAGCCTCCAAGCTGTGACATTTTTTTTTCTGCTGTAACTAGCTGTGCTATTAGCAGCCTGGAGGCCCCAGTTTACTGTAGCTCTCACTCTGGGAGTCAAACACGGCCTCTATCCATACCTAGGCCCTGCCGCCTGCTAAGGCCTGCTCTGGAGAGAAGAGAAGCGCTGGGCACGGGAGCAGAGAGGTGTGAAAAGGAGGTTGTCAGAAACCAATCAATACTACGCTTGACAATGAGGGATGTACTACAGACACACACGCATGTGTACATACACACGCACAGAAGTTGGTGCTTTGCTTTAGTACTTTAGTTAGACAGAAAGAGCGAAAGAGGAACAGAATAAGAAGAAAAATAACTGACCTGATCTCGTTGGGAGTCTCCTCCTCCTCATACTTCTTCTTCTCCTTCTTGCGGAAGACGAGCCAGATGATTAGGATGATGAGGAGAACACCAAAGGAAACGCCCACCACGGCACCTGCCAGCACGCCCATCCCTCGAACATCTGTGGATCATCACACATCTGTGACATCAGAAGGGCAGAGAAAAACCACCACAAATGCACCAGCACGTACAGTATCCATACTGTGCTGTGCACACATGCAAATATTGATGCTTCTCACATAAACAATCCCTTTGAAAATAATGGTTTAGTCCCGATAGGTAAATCCTGTGAGTTTGTGGATCAAATATTTTTTGCTGGTGTTGTGTGTATTATGTGTTCAGTCCCCTACAAAGCTATGAATCTAACAAAATGGTATCAAACCATTTATGTTGCTGTGTTAACTTATAAATCATGTCCCCAACAGTTCACCCCTTTGTGACCCTAAAATTCCTGTGCTTTTCTGGAAATCTATTACTATGACATTGAAACATGGCTGTTTGAGCGAAGCTGATGACCAATGTCCACTGTTTTAACGGTACAGTCCCCAGTGTTGGTTCACTGAGGCGGGGTGGGGGGGGGGAACGAATTTTCAGGTGCTGTTGGAAACTACAGTCATTCATCACCATCGTAGCACGGTGTGGTGCGGAGCCGGAGAGCAGTTCTCGCTACTCACACTGCATGGTGACCTCGATGATGCAGTTCTCCTCGCCCACGTCATTGCTGGCAGTGCACTTGTAGACACCTGTACTGTCCTTCGTCAGGTTCCGCAGGGTGACGATCTCTGGATTCTTCTGATCTGTAGGAGAGATAGATAGACTGTGATTTAACAACCTGCTCAACCCGGGAAAGCCTAGAGGACTGGGGTCTGTGGTGCAGTTTGTATTTCCACTACAATGGTTTCATGCACTTCTACAGTTAGCGTGACCTTGAAGAGTAATTTGATTAACAGCATGTAGTAAATCCTTGCAGTGATGTACTGTACTTCATATCAAAGTCTACTCAACTCTGATCCACTCCATTCTATGATAATCTAGTAACAGACCAGCAGCAAGAAAAATGCATTATTAGGCTGTATTAAGGTGAAATTGTATTGATGAGTGTTGAGCCTAGTTAGACCTGACTCATGTTTTGGGCTAACCATTCCTGTCTGTAATAGTGTGTCAGCTCTGATGTATCACACTTTGTGGGACAGAGCAGGAGGAGACAAACTCACAAATGTTGATCTTGGCCTCTGAGAGATTGGATGTACTCAGACTCAGCGTGGCTCTGGTGATTGAAGAGCGGGCCCGTAGACACTGGGGGAATTTAGGGGGAGTTTAAAGAGTTTGTCTGAGAGAACGATGGAGCTTTACGGGGTTCAGAGTCGCTTAGTCATCCCGTCACAACAGTCACGTGATATTACCTTTCACCACCACCAATAAATAATGGCCCACAACGATGTGTTTTATCGCCCAATGAAAACTAATTAGACTGTACAGGTGTTGTTTCATGGAGGTAATTAATTTCTAGGCTTTTGGCATGGGCACGTGCCATGGCTATTGCGAATTGAGTGGGGAAATATTTAATGAAGGTGTGTTGTTGTGGCCTTGAGGGGTAGATGCATCTAGTATAGGGATCATCAACTAGATTCAGCCACGGCACAATTTTATTTTTAGCGGATGGTCAGGGGGCCGGAACGTAATTACTAATCATTTGTAGAATGCAAAATTGACCACAAGAAGCCCAAACAGATATATAACATAATAATTTCAAACCTTGCTTACATTTGTATACGATCACATATATCTCTCTATTAGGTGTGAGAATACTTTTGGACACATTTTCTAAATAAAAATCACTTGGAGCTGATTTGCTGGTGTTTTTACAGTCTTTTATGTCCCCCAATTTTTTGGCAGGAAACTTGCGGGGCCAAATAAAATCACATGCGGGCCAAAATCAGCCGCCAGTTGGGGAACCCTGGTCTAGGAGGTGGATGAAGAATGGCGGAATTGCCGTTATTAGGAAGTTTTCATGCTACAGTTGAAGTCGGAAGTTTACATACACTTAGGTTGGAGTCATTAAAACTTGTTTTTCAACCACTCCACTATTTTCTTGTTAACAAACTATAGTTTTGGCAAGTCGGTTAGGACATCTACTTTGTGCATGACACAAGTAATTTTTCCAACAATTGTTTACAGACAGATTATTTCACTTATAATTCATTGTATCACAATTCCAGTGGGTCAGAAGTTTACATACACTAAGTTGACTGTGCCTTTAAAGAGCTTGGAAAATTCCAGAAAATGATGTCATGGCTTTAGAAGCTTCTGATAGGCTAATTGACATAATTTGAGTCAATTGGAGGTGTACCTGTGGATGTATTTCAAGGCCTACCTTCAAACTCAGTGCCTCTTTGCTTGACATCATGGGAAAATCAAAAGAAATCAGCCAAGACCTTAGGAAAAATATTGTAGACCTCCACAAGTCTGGTTCATCCTTGGGAGCAATTTCCAAATGCCTGAAGGTACCACGTTCATCTGTACAAACAATACTACGCAAGTATAAACACCATGGGACCACGCAGCCGTCATACCGCTGAGGAAGGAGACGCATTCTGTCTCCTAGAGATGAACGTACTTTGGTGCGAAAAGTGCAAATCAATCCCAGAACAACAGCAAACGACCTTGTGAAGATGCTGGAGGAAACAGGTACAAAAGTATCTATATCCACAGTAAAACGAGTCATATATCGACATAACCTGAAAGGCCACTCAGCAAGGAAGAAGCCACTGCTCCAAAACCGCCATAAAAAGCCAGACTACGGTTTGCAACTGCACATGGGGACAAAGATCATACTTTTTGGAGAAATGTCCTCTGGTCTGATGAAACAAAAATAGAACTGTTTGGCCATAATGACCATCGTTATGTTTGGAGGAAAAAGGGGAAGGCTTACAAGCTGAAGAACACCATCCCAACCATGAAGCACGGGGGTGTCAGCATCATGCTGTGGGGGTGCTTTGCTGCAGGAGGGACTGGTGCACTTCACAAAATAGAGGGCATCATGAGGAAGGAAAATTATGTGGATATATTGAAGCAACATCTCAAGACATCAGTCAGGAAGTTAAAGCTTGGTCGCAAATGGGTCTTCCAAATGGACAATGACCCCAAGCATACTTCCAAAGTTGTGGCAAAATGGCTTAAGACAACAAAGTCAAGGTATTGGAGTGGTCATCACAAAGCCCTGACCTCAATCCTATAAGAAAATGTGTGGGCAGAACTGAAAAAGCGTGTGCGAGCAAGAAGGCCTACAAACCTGATTCAGTTACACCAGCTCTGTCAGGAGGAATGGGCCAAAATTCACCTAACTTATTGTGGGAAGCTTGTGGAAGGCTACCCGAAACGTTTGACCCAAGTTAAACAATTTAAAGGCAATGTTACCAAATACTAATTGAGTGTATGTAAACTTCTGACCCACTGGGAATGTGATGAAATAAATCAAAGCTGAAATAAATCATTCTCTCTACTATTATTCTGACATTTCACATTCTTAAAATAAAGTGGTGATCCTAACTGACCTAAGACAGGGAATTTGTACTAGGATTAAATGTCAGGAATTGTGAAAAACTGAATTTAAATGTATTTGGCTAAGGTGTATGTAAACTTCTGACTTCAACTGTATATTGAATCTCCACTACATTTTGGTGTTTGGAGGCAGACTGGAATTTAGGTGTTTGGGGATGAAATTTATTCTGGGAAATACTATCATCAAAGTAACATATACAGTGCCTTCGGAAAGCATTCAGACCCATTGACTTTTTCCACATTTTGTTACATTACAGCCTTATTCTAAAATGGATGAAATAAAAATAAATCCTCAGCAATCTACACAATACCCCATAATGACAAAGCGAAAACAGGTTTTCAGAAATGTTTGCAAAAAATAATAATAATAATAGCAGAAATACCTTATTTACATAAGTATTCAGACCCTTTGATATGAGACTCGAAATTGAGCTCAGGTGCATCTTGTTTCCATTGATCATCCTTGAGATGTTTCTACAACTTGACTGGAGTCCACCTGTGGAAAACTAAATTGATTGGACATGATTTGGAAAGGCACATGCCTGTCTGTATAAGGTCCCACAGTTGACAGTGCATGTCAGAGAAAAAACAAGGCCATGAGGTCGAAGGAATTGTCCATTGAGCTCAGAGACAGGATTTTGTCGAGGCACAGATCTGGGAAAGGGTACGAAAATATTTGTTCAGCATTGAAGGTCCCCAAGAACACGGTGGCCTCCATCATTCTTAAATGGAAGAAGTTTGGAACCACCAAGACTCTTCGTAGAGCTGGCCACCTGGCCAAACTGAGCAATCGGGGGAGAAGGGCCTTGGTCAGGGAGGTGACCAAGAACCCGATGGTCACTCTCACAGTGCTCTAGAGTTCCTCTGTGGAGATGGGAGAACCTTCCAGAAGGACAACCATCTCTGCAGCACTCCACCAATCAAGCCTTTATGGTTGAGTGGCCAGATGGAAGCCACTGAAAATAGATGTGCAGCAACGCTCCCCATCCAACCTGACAGAGCTTGAGAGGATCTGCAGAGAAGAAAGGGAGAAACTCCCCAAATACAGGTGTGCCAAGCTTGTAGCGTCATACCCAAGAAGGCTCGAGGCTGTAATCTCTGCCAAAGGTGCTTCAACAAAGTACTGAGTAAAGGGTCTGAATACTTATGTAAATGTGACATTTCAGTGTTTTATTTTTAATAAATTAGTAAAAATATATAAAAAACGGTTTTTGCTTTGTCATTATGGGGTATTGGGTGTAGATTGATGAGGGGAAAAAACAATTTAATCCATTTTAGAATAAGGCTGTAACTGAACAAAATGAGGAAAAAGTCAAGGGGTCTGAATACTTTCCAAAGGCACTGTTCTATGTAACATCCTCTTTAGGGGACCCGTGCTACACATACACATGGATGAAATGGGGTGCAGCGTGTGTACTTGTGGACAATCTATTTACCTCTCAGTGCCAGTAGGGGGAGTTTCCCAACACTCTTTCCCTTATCCAGCACCCTCTCCCAATTGTATTTGATAGGGTCTGAGCCGTCACTGGATTTGCAGCTCAGTTTAACGTCACTGCCCTCCAACAGCCTGCCGTCCATCCAGCATCGCGGCTTAGAGGGCTTCACTGTAGAAACAACAGAACAGTAGTTATATAACACTACAAATAACACTATTATACAAAAATAACACAGGATGGTACCTACTACGGATAATGATTAATTCATATAATATACTGTTTAGCTCAGAGTATGACATACTGTAGCAGCATGTTTAAACGTGAAATAATAGTAAAAGATTGTTGAGTGTAACAATAGCTTGCTTGTTTCTCATGGAAGTCAATGCTGGGATTAAGAGCAGTATTAAAGGCCCCAGGCCTAGATCAATAAGTGACTGTGAGTTGGTTTTGAAAGCTTGCAGACAGAGACAGGTCAGGAGAGAGTCCTGTGCTCCTAAGTTCCTGTGGCCTGGAGGTCACTAGATGGCCAGCCATGCTCTAAGCTCTGTATGGCTGCTTCACAGCAGCTGCTCCAGTCCTCCCTATATCTCTCCCTCCATCCCTCAACCCATCCCTCTATCCCTCAAGCCATTCCTTCATCACTTCCTCCTTCCTTCCATCCATCCATCCTTTCCCTCCATCCCTTCCCTTCCAGTCTAACTGGCCTGGTGAACATGCTGCTCACATGCTCAGTAAGGGATGTAATAACGGGGCTGAGGAGAGTGCTGTGGATTCTGCAGTACATCTCACAGCTCTGTCAGAGCCAGTTAGGCCGCTCTCTCTGCAGCAGGAGCAGCCAGCGCGAGGACACACACACTGACACAGGGGCCCAGCCAGCCGTCAGCTCCTCTGCCAACCCATTATCTTAACGTCGGGACTGCGAAAGAAAAATGCAAATGTTCGTCTCTCAAAATCGAAAGTGTCACTGCAAAGCTGAGGGCAATTTGTAAAAATCTAGGCGCTAACTCAATGAAATGTCTTTATGGAGGAGAGAGAGAAAAAGAGAAAGGATTAAGAGACTGTTCCATTAAAGAACAAATAACCACCGGTTGAACTAATCTCCCATGATGTTTTAATAAATTGCATGGTTTCTGACATTGAGAATGATCTCACTTCCCCCACTGGACTACTAGACGGCTTTGTGGTATTGCTTCTCTCTACTTGCCTGTCTGTCCTTCAAAGCTGTTTGTCTATTCAAAGATATGCAGAGACACATTTACCACAGAACCAGTTAAAACTAAACCTTTTCAAACAGATCAGCCAAGCCTCTGTGTATTGGGGCAATGAAGAAATTTAACAGAACAGAGAATAAAACAACCATGGGGTCTTTGCCTCTGCTAAAGCAGCCCAACTGGCTTTGTCATCATACTTATGAAAGCTGAATGACGGCTCAGAACTCTGTCTGGTATTTAATAATTAAAAAAGAGCTTGTCTGCCGTATAGTTGATGACAGAAAACACATTTTCATATCATGGTAGCAAATTTTATTCCTAATGTTTAAAGGGGAAGTTCACAAATTTTTACATGTAGCCTTATTTTCACTCTTTCTGTGCTTCTAGTTGATCCCCAAACAGTTTTAATTTGTTTTGTTTTGTTACAGAGATAATTGTTTGTCACAATTTGCTGAGTCATCACTTGCCATAGACTACAATGCATTGTGAAAATGTGTTTAAAACATGTTATAAAACGCTCGAAAACACTCCAAACCACCTCATATTACATCAGAATCTCATTCTGGAGAATGCCTCTGCACTCAATTTGGGATTTTCTTTCCACCATGCCATAAACCCATGTTTGAATGATGCTGTTTACAACAACAACAAAAATATGCAAATATGGATTGATGGGACAGTGGAAAACGTTTTCTAATATGGATTACAGAGGCGTTATCCAGAATGAGATTCTGATGTAATATGAGGTGGTTTGGAGCATTTTATAACATGCTTAGACACATTTTCATAATGCATTGTAGTCTTTGGCAAGTGATGTGACAACCAATTTTCTCTGTAACAAAACAAAATATAAATAAATGGTTTGGGGTCTCAACTACATGCACAGAAAGAGTGAAAATAAGGCCACCTGTAAAAATGGGTGAACTTCCCCATTAACAACTAAATTCTGCATCATCTGTTTCAAGCTGACAAGCGGTCAATCCACGTCAGCCATTTTTAGACATAATATATTATTTACGATATGTTACTTCAATATGCCTCAACAACCACACATCTCAGAGACCCTCGCAACAGAGAAACAAGGCCAAACAAAAAATCTAAATCGAATCACTCCGTCTAAATCATATTTAATTATTAGATCAGTCAGCATGAGAGAGGAAATGTGCCGGGCTAATTCCCTATTGATTAGCGTGTGTGAGAGACAGAACTGGAGAGCAGACTCACCCAGCACTATGAGGTTGACCTGGCTCCAGTGGTACTTTCCCCCCGTCTTGACCTTGCAGTAGTACTCTCCAGAGTCGGTCAGCTGTAGGTCACTGAGGAGCAGGGAGGCGTCTCCTTTCAGGTAGTCTCCGGCGAAGGACAGACGACTGGCCTCGCTGGTCACCTCGTTGGTGTACACCTGGCCCCCGAAAAACGTGATGATCTGGGTTGGGGAGAGAGACAATGAGACACACTGAGAGAGCTGTACGCAGAGACATATGTAAAGACATTAGATCTGTATCTGGATTTAGACATGCATGGACACCACTTGCTCATAAAGACACACACACAGTACAGACATGTACCCTCTCTTTGTCTTTTTCTCTCTCTCCCTTGTAAACACACACACACACACACACACACACACACACACACACACACACACACTACTACAACAACATCAAACACAGCTGTCACAGCAGCCTATTACTCAGGGCAACTGAGAGCCTGCAGATGGGGACTGCTAAACGCTGGTGCCACAGCACATCAGTGCCACAGGAGCTGGGTTTACCTGCTGCGCTCGCAGGTGACGACTGGCCATTTACACACACACACAACACACACACACACACACACACACACACACACACACACACACACACACACACACATTCATGTACAACTAACCTTGTGGGGACACAAAGTTCAGTCCCATTCAAAATCCTATTTTCCCTAACCCCTAACCCTAACTCTAACCCTTACCCTAACCCTAACCTTAACCCCAAAACCTAATCTTAACCCTAAATCTAACCCTAGCTCCTAACCCTGAACCTAAACCTAATTCTAACCCTAATACTAATTCTAACCTTAACCCTAAACCCCCTAAAAATAGCATTTGACCTTGTGGGGACTAACAAAATGTCCCAAATTGGTCACATTTTTGTTATTTTACTATTCTTGTGGACACACACACACACACACACACACACACACACACACACACACACACACACACACACACACACACACTGAGCCCTGCCACAGGCACTCTGTGATATGACCCTGGCACCTGCGCAATGCGTTTCAAGTTACTGTGCATTTGCCAATGGGCACACTCCTGCTGTGTTCATCCATTTTGGATGTGGAGTGTACAGTATTTGCAGGTGTGTATGTGTTTGTCCTTCTGGCTCTGAACATATGTTTATGAGAGGGGGAAAGAGGGGTCTGGATGATGTGTATTTGAATTGAATACAGCATCCAACACCAGAGTCTGTGGAAGGCCTCAGTATATGGGCCTATGGGTGGTTAGCACCATTAGCATTAGCATACGCACCCCCAATTTTTTAATTTTTTAATTTTTAGAGTATATTGGTAGAAGGATTACTTTTATACTATCCCAGGTATTCCTTAAAGAGGTAGGATTTCAAGTGTCTTATTTTAATTAATGGTACTTTCAATTTTATTTCCCAGTTAAATATTCAATGCAATGTGCCAGCCCCTTCAGAAGTTTTAATGTGTTAGTTGTTTTCCCCTTTCTTCCCTTCTCTCCCTCCTCCCTTCTCTCCCTCCTCTATTCTCTCCCTCCTCCCTTCTCTCCTGCCTCCCTTCTCTTGTGGAACCAAATCTCTCACTGCTAATCAACAGATCAGTGTGTTAACGAATGACTTCCATTTCCCCCTGTCTGTTGAAGTCCTCAGTATATGGGCCTATGGGTGGTTAGCACCATTAGCATTAGCATACGCATCCCCAGGTTGGCACCAGTGAACCTTGCCCTTGCTCAGGCTTTCTCTCCCCTCTGTGCTCCTGACACATGTAGCCTGTACGCTCAGCAACAGAGGCTAAATGTTGACAAGCTGCTCTTTTCCATTTCAACACGGCCTTCCAGCAAAAATAAAATAATGAGTTATTCATTCCGCCACAAGCACAGTCTCGTTCCTAATCAAATTATCAGACGTTTTACATTTTTCATTTACATTTACGTCATTTAGCAGACGCTCTTATCCAGAGCGACTTACAAATAGGTGCATTCACCTTATGATAGCCAGTGGGACAACCACAAAAAACATTTTTCTAATTTTTTAATGTTTTAATTTTTAGAGTATATTTTTAATTTTCATTTGTTTTATATATATATATATATATATATATATATATATATATATATATATATAGAAGGATTTATTTTATACTATCCCAGGTATTCCTTAAAGAGGTAGGGTTTCAAGTGTCTTATTTTAATTAATGGTACTTTCAATTTTATCTCCCAGTTAAATATTCAATGCAATGTGCCAGCCCCTTCAGAAGTTTCAATGTGTTAGTTGTTTTCCCCTTTCTTCCCTTCTTTCCCTCCTCCCTTCTTTCCCTCTTCCCTTCTCTCCCTCCTCCCTTCTCTCCCTCCTCTCTTCTCTCCCGCCTCCCTTCTCTCCCTCCTCCCTTCTCTCCCTCCTCCCTTCTCTCCCTCCTCCCTTCTCTCCCGCCTCCCTTCTCTCCCTCCTCCCTTCTCCCTTCTCTCCCTCCTCCCTTCTCTCCCGCCTCCCTTCTCTCCCTCCTCCCTTCTCTCCCTCCTCCCTTCTCTCCTGCCTCCCTTCTCTTGTGGAACCAAATCTCTCACTGCTAATCAACAGATCAGTGTGTTAACGAATTACTTCCTAAGAGAAAAGAAATCTCTTTCTTCTGATGAGGCCTGTTGGGATTTCACAGTCTTAATGTTATCAGATGATGCATTTCATTAAGAAAAAACAGGAACAAATCAAAACAGAAACTGATACTCTAACATCTTCTGAGAGCTACAACACAAGTAATTACATTAGGGCTGTTTTTAGACTCGGGTAAATGATTCAAGGTAGGTGATAGGATGGATCCATTTTTATTCTATTAAGAACTGGCAGTATTGATGTGGTCTAATTCAAGTGTCAGGGACTGGAAGGTCTAGGTATTCTATTTTCACAGCTGGTATGGTGTACAGGCATTATTTATTAACTGTGTCTCAGGTGGACTTTCAGCCACAGTAATTTGTTTACTACTGTATCTCTGTCGTTATTGTAACACTTCAGGGAATCTGAAAAAGCCAATGTACAAAACCCTGAGCAGTTTAAATAAATAGAGGCATTAGGAATTGGGAGAGAGTAAGAGTAAACTGTAGGAAGTAGAAAAGGGTTGAGATGGGAAGGAAACAAATTGGAGGAACGTTGTGTTGTATAAGTGTGCCTCTGAAAAAGCCATTAAAATTATATCAGATTGGTTGCAACAAAGAGATTGAGGGGTGGGGGGGGAGAGTGAAAGATGGGAAGAGAGACAATGACAAAGAAAGACAGGAGAGAGAGAGAGAGAGATAGATAGAGAGAGAGAGAGAGAGAGAGAGAGAGAGAGAGAGAGAGAGAGAGAGAGAGAGAGAGAGAGAGAGAGAGAGAGAGAGAGAGAGAGAGAGAGAGAGAGCAGCTTCCTCACCACTCTCTGCTTGGAGTTGGGTTTCTGCAGTAGCCACTCGATGTCGAGCGACTGCGCGTTGGACTGCCAGAACTGATGGTGGCACGGCAGGGTGGTGTTGTCTCCGACGACTCTCTTCATTTCTGTCTGGGCGCCGGCCGTCAGCAGGCTCAGCAGTACTGGAGAGAGAGAGAACAGAGACACTGTCAGACAACTAGAACCAGATACACCACAAGACAGCAGCCACAGGCAGAAGATAGCTGGAGTAAAAAACCTAGTGTGATAGGAAACAGAATCAGAATTACATGGACATAATATGTAAAAGAAACAGAATTAAACAAACAAAACCATCCAAACCACAATGAGACAAAAACTGCAACTACAGTCAATTTCTCCCAAGCTGACCTAGCTGTTTGCTGTAGGACAGTATGGGTTACACTAGGCTCAGTCAGTAGCATACAGTGAGGGAAAAAAGTATTTGATCCCCTGCTGATTTTGTACGTTTGCCCACTGACAAAGAAATTATCAGTCTATAATTTTAATGGTAGGTTTATTTGAACAGTGAGAGACAGAATAACAGCAAAAAACGCATGTCAAAAATGTTATAAATGTATTTGCATTTTTTTAATGAGGGAAATAAGTATTTGACCCCTCTGCAAAACATTACTTAGTACTTGGTGGCAAAACCCTTGTTGGCAATCCCAGAGGTCAGACGTTTCTTGTAGTTGGCCACCAGGTTTCCACACATCTCAGGAGGGATTTTGTCCCACTCCTCTTTGCAGATCTTCTCCAAGTCATTAAGGTTTCAAGGCTGACGTTTGACAACTCGAAACTTCAGCTCCCTCCACAGATTTTCTATGGGATTAAGGTCTGGAGACTGGCTAGGCCACTCCAGGACCTTAATGTGCTTCTTCTTGAGCCACTCCTTTGTTGCCTTGGCCGTGTGTTTTGGGTCATTGTCATGCTGGAATACCCATCCACGACCCATTTTCAATGCCCTGGCTGAGGGAAGGAGGTTCTCACCCAAGATTTGATGGTACATGGCCCTGTCCATCGTCCCTTTGATGCGGTGAAGTTGTCCTGTCCCCTTAGCAGAAAAACACCCCCAAAGCATAATGTTTCCACCTCCATGTTTGACGGTGGGGATGGTGTTCTTGGGGTCATAGGCAGCATTCCTCCTCCTCCAAACACGGCGAGTTGAGTTGATGCCAAAGAGCTCAATTTTGGTCTCATCTGACCACAACACTTTCACCCAGTTCTCCTCTGAATCATTCAGATGTTCATTGGCAAACTTCAGACAGGCCTGTATATGTGCTTTCTTGAGCAGGGGGACCTTGCGGGCGCTGCAGGATTTCAGTCCTTCACTGCGTAGTGTGTTACCAATTGTTTTCTTGGTGACTATGGTCCCAGCTGCCTTGAGATCATTGACAAGATCCTCCCATGTAGTTCTGGGCTGATTCCTCACCGTTCTCATGATCATTGCAACTCCACGAGGTGAGATCTTGCATGGAGCCCCAGGCCGAGGGAGATTGACAGTTCTTTTGTGTTTCTTCCATTTGCGAATAATCGCACCAACTGTTGTCACCTTCTCACCAAGCTGCTTGGCGATGGTCTTGTAGCCCATTCCAGCTTTGTGTAGGTCTACAATCTTGTCCCTGACATCCTTGGAGAGCTCTTTGGTCTTGGCCATGGTGGAGAGTTTGGAATCTGATTGATTGATTGCTTCTGTGGACAGGTGTCTTTTATACAGGTAACAAGCTGAGATTAGGAGCACTCTCTTTAAGAGTGTGCTCCTAATCTCAGCTCGTTACCTGTATAAAAGACACCTGGGAGCCAGAAATCTTTCTGATTGAGAGGGGGTCAAATACTTATTTCCCTCATTAAAATGCAAATAAATGTATAACATTTTTGACATGCGTTTTTCTGGATTTTTTTGTTGTTACTCTGTCTCTCACTGTTCAAATAAACCTACCATTAAAATTATAGACTGATCATTTCTTTGTCAGTGGGCAAACGTACAAAATCAGCAGGGGATCAAATACTTTTTTTCCTCACTGTACATGGGGCTTGTGGCTCGGCCCCTGGCCAGTGGACAGACTGTTAGGGCCTAATACGCAGCGGGGGCCACTGGGCTAATTTATTGGAGGATGCTGGACAGCCCCACTGGCTTGAGGGGAATTAGGGAGAGGCGTCGGGGGGATTTGCAGAGGGATGGAGCTCGGGGTGGGGGGTGGGGGGGGGCAAGGGGACATACGACTCCCTCCACCTGGTAGACCCAGCACAGGGAAAACAATGCACAGGCTCCACAGCCCCACTGGGCTTACTCCCTCAAATGCAAGATATATTTTTGGTGCTTCAGCATTAATCTAACTAGCACATTTAATTTAGTCACTTCAGAGAGCGGGCTAAGATCCTGGCTTCAAAGAGCTTTCAATAAAGTTATCCAAACGCTGTTCATGTAAATATTATGACATCTCCTTTTTATTACTCAGTGGTATGTTGCTGATTAGGCGCTGAGTGGTTCAATAAATCACTAAATATACAGTGTGGTATACATACTTACACAAAAACTGTATGGCCTGTTGCCTAGCCCTGAGTGTGTTATGTCTGGGCTTGAGTGATTCAACAGACAGCGACTCATTGAAAGAATGCCTTTGTGCCCTATCACCCTCGATGACATTGTCAATGTTCCTTGGATCTCCAAAGGTGGTCAATGCGTCAGCCGTAGGCACCTTTCTTCTCATTCAGTGGCCACCCTCTCAGGAACAGCACACGTAAGAGCTGTCAGAGCCAATGAGAATGGTCGCTAGTCTGCCCTATAAAACATGTGACTAGGTGTAAGTTTGTGGTAAAGATGGTGCCTTTGGAGAAGGGCGACATCTTACGAGTTCCGTCACTTTTACCCTGCCTTTAGTCCCTTTTACCCTGCCTTCATGTACATATCTACCTCAAATACCTCGTACCTCTGCACATTGATCTGAAACTGGTACTCTCTGTAGTGACTTGCAAAAGTATTCATCCCCCTTGGTGTTTTTCCTATTGTGTTGTATTACAACCTGTAATTTACATTGATTTTTATTTGGATTTCATGTAATGGACATACACAAAATAGTCCAAATTGGTGAAGTGAAATGAAAAAAATTACTTGTTTCAAAGAATTCAAAAAAATTAATAACGGAAAAGTGGTGCCTGCAAATGTATTCACCCCCTTTGCTATGAAGCCCCTAAATAAGATCTGGTGCAACCAATTACCTTCAGAAGTCACATAATTAGTTAAATAAAGTCCACCTGTGTGCAATCTAAGTGTCACATGATCTCAGTATATATACACCTGTTCTGAAAGGCCCCAGAGTATGCAACACCACTAAGCAAGGGGCACCACCAAGCAAGCAGCACCATGAAGACAAAGGAGCTCTCCAAACAGATCAGGGACAAAGTTGTGGAGAAGTACAGATCAGGGTTGGGTTATAAAAAAATCAGAAACTTTGAACATCCCAAGGGGGACCATAAAATCCATTATTAAAAAATGGAAAGAATATGGCACCACACAAACCTGCCAAGAGAGGGCTGCCCACCAAAACTCACGGACCAGGCAAGGAGGGCATTAATCAGAGAGGCAACAAAGAGACCAAAGATAACCCTGAAGGAGCTGCAAAGCTCCACAGCTCCACAAAGGAGTATCTGTCCATAGGACCACTTTAAGCCATACACTCCACAGAGCTGGGCTTTACGGAAGAGTGGGCAGAAAAAAGCCATTGCTATAAAAAATAAATAAGCAAACACGTTTGGTGTTCGCCAAAAGGCATGTGGGAGACTCCTCAAACATATGGAAGAAGGTACTCTGGTCAGATAAGACTCAAATTGAGCTTTTTGGCCATCAAGAAAAACACAATGTCTGGCGCAAACCCAACACCTTTCATCACCCCGAGAACACCATCCCCACAGTGAAGCATGGGGGTGGCAGCATCATGCTGTGTGGATCTTTTTCATCGGCAGGGACTGGGAAACTGGTCAGAATTGAAGGAATGATGGATTGCGCTAAATACAGGGAATTTCTTGAGGGAAACCTGTTTTAGTCTTCCAGAGATTTGAGACTGGGACGGATGTTCACTTTCCAGCAGGACAACGACCCTAAGCATACTTCTAAAGCAACACTCGAGTGGTTTAAGGGGAAACATTTAAATGTCTTGGAATGGCCTATTCAAATCCCAGACCTCAATCCAATTGAGAATCTGTGGTATGACTTAAAGATTGCTGTACACCAGCGGAACCCATCCAACTTGATGGAGCTGGAGCAGTTTTGCCTTGAAGAATGGGCAACAATCCCAGTGGCTAGATGTGCCAAGCTTATAGAGATACCCCAAGAGACTTGCAGCTGTAATTGCTGCAAAAGGTGGCTCTACAAAGTATTGGGGGGGGGGGGGGGGTGAATAGTTATGCATGCTCAAGCTTTCAGTTTTTTTGTCTTATTTCTTGTTTGTTTAACAATAAAAAAGATTTTGCATCTTCAAAGTGGTAGGCATGCTGTGTAAATCAAATTATACAAACCCCCCAAAAATCAATTTTAATTCCAGGTTGTAAGGCAACAAACTAGGAAAAATGCCAAGGGGGGTGAATACTTTCGCAAGCCACTGTAGCTCCATTCTCATGTATTTTATTTTAGTCCTCTTGTAATTCTATTTTTAATCTGCATCGTTGGGAAGGGCTCGTAAGCTAGCATTTCATGGTCAAGTCTACACCAGTTTTATTCGGCACATGTGACAAATCAAATTTGATTTGATTTGATTTGGTACAGGGATGTAGGTATCATAACTGTAAACTGCTTATTCAGAATTGGTTGACTGTCTCACAGTTATGACATCATTACTCTGTGAACTTTGTGTGCAGCTCTTTAAGTTTCCTTCACTTTCACATTTTCCTGCTGCAATAACCCTGGGCTCCACGCCAGTTACTCACAATAATCTGAGTCACCACTTAGACACAACCCCAGATGCCCTCTCTGACTGGCACCCAGCACCACAGGAGAGGAGGCCATGATACAGTACAGCAGGGCCCTAAGTCCGCTCAATATGACCCTGGTGACAGGACACATTACTGATGTCCTCCTACTGCTCTCGCTCTCCCCTGCTCTGTTCAAATCACTACTCAGCAGAAAAAAGGGCCACCTCTTCCCAGCCAAGGAGCTCCCAGCCCCTCTGAAGGTATCCCCATTCATGACTTTTTAATGCAGCATTTGCAGAGCTATTCATCTTGTGGGCTCCCCGCAGATATTACTTTGGATGGAAGTCATGGAGGGGAGCCTAGGAGAGAAGGATCCAGCCAGCACAGAGGACTCTGGGTATCCTCTCAGCATAGCTCCTAATCACTTTAAGGAGGAGGAGGAAGGAGGAGGAGGAGGTTGGCTGGAGTGTGTGTGTGCGAGAGAGTGTGAGTGTTGGGGCCCGGTGATGGTCGGTTGGGAGCCCAGTGCCCGCTGCTGGCCAAGGCCTGTCTAATCAGTGCTGTCTAATCAGTGCCCCCACACTCGTCACCCCGGGGCTGAACCCCCTGCTCTGTGTGCTGGGCCTGATAACAGCTAGTAGGCTCACCACTCCACCACCCGCCCACGCCGGGGAGAGTTTTGCATGGGAGCGATACAAGTAGGGCCAGTTATCAAAGGGGGTATATGGAAGGTTGTGTGTTGTATGTGCAATTAACTATTGTGTATATCGCCCACTCCTTTAGCCAACTCTCAATGACCTTCCAACAAGCACACTGAGCCAATAAAGAATGTTTGGGTTTGGAAGTAGGCTTCACTTTATCATCTGTCAATAGATTTACCACATATGAAATGATCTAACTTTCAGCCAACAACATGACAAACATTTCAATGCCTTTATAGTGACATTACAATCAGCTTTTACATCCTCAGTTTATGGTCTTGGAGAGGGGATTTTGTGCTGTGGAATGGATAACATAGTGGTCCAAAATAAACCTGCCTTGAAGTCTATTTGCACTCAAATTTGGATTGGCCTCATTCAGTGTGCACAGCTGTGGCAGTTTGGACCGATGGGAACCATCATTTGTGAGATGCCCAGTATGCAGCATACCAGGGTGTCACAGCATACTATGGTGACTCTATATAGGAACATCAGGTAGTCTTTAGTTTTATGACATTGGCTTTCAATGGTCTTAATATAGTGGGATATTTCAGCATACTTTAATTTAGTTTATTAATTCAACCATTTAAAAAAACAAGCACAGATAAAACTTGAAAAAGCCATACATGCACATCAACAAAATCATTGAGGATAACACACAATAAAGTCAGGGACTTATTTCCATTGTGGTCCTCTTGAGACAAGATTGCTGGGCAAGACTCAACACGGTTGAACACAGTATGGCAGTGAGATAATAAAGCATACAAACAAAGAACAACATCTATCTCATCATTACAGTTACATCGTAGGGTACATTCATATGGGCACAGAAGACATCAAACTGTTTTTTACTTAATTTTTAAGGCAACTCATTCCACTCTGAGGCTCCACTATACAAGAAAGTACCTTTCCCAGCATTAGTCCTGAACCTTTATAAGCATACATTAGCAACACCTGATCTGGTGCTGTGGTTTTGTACATCCCTAACACGGGGAAAGTAATCAGTCAGATATCTGGGTGCAGAACCGACAATATGCCTGTATACCAGACCCAGTCTAATCTGGGACACCCTAGCCTCAACAGGCAGCCAGTTGAGTTTCTGAAAGCAGCTCCTGGCTACGTAAGTACGTGGACTAACCTTCAATACTACCCTGATCAGCTCATTCTGGGCTATCTGGAGCTTCCCCTTCAGAAGCTTAGATAAGCCCCAAACCAGGAAGTACTAGCGTAGTCAAAATGGAATTGAATTAGGGCAGTGGCTAGCACTCTCATGGAGTCCTTATCAAGCAGCTTGGACTTTCTAGCCAAAAACTTGATTCCGGCATTAACCTTCCCTAGCACTTTAGTGGCCATGCTTAACCCTAGTGCCTCCAGTTTGGAGATTAGGAGACAGTGGTTAACTGTATCAAAGGCCTTCTGTAGGTCAAGCAGTATCATTCCACAAAGATTTCTCTCACCAATCTCTTTCCTGATGAAGTCAGTCAAGTAAAGTAGACATGAATCAGTGGAGTATGTTTTTCTAAATCCCGACTGAAAATCATACATTTGACTTTGTTTGTTGACATATTCATAAATTTGCTCATGTACAACTCTCTCCAGGATATTTGATGTTATAATGGATACAGGCCTACAATTCCCAGGGTCAGACTTTATCCCCTTCTTATACAGAGGTATAACTTTAGCTTTTTTCATGTCCTTGGGAAAGATGCCTTGTTCAAGAGAGAGATTAACAATATGCGTAATACAAGGGGCAATTTGCTCAGCAGAATCTCTAAGAAACCTTGCAGGAATATTATCCAGGCCTGTGGCTTTGGAGCATTTAAGCTTTGCTAGCATACTTGCTACTTTGGCTGTTGCTACCTTTGCAAAATAAAAACTTGGCATAATACTTCTTGACTTGGTCGTTTCCATACGAATTAGAACTAGTGGGCAGCTTGCTGGCAACAGAAGTAAAACAAATGTTGAATTACTATACATACCGATAACATAGTAAATAGTGTGAGACATTACCTACAGTCAGGCATGGCAAAACTATCAAAACATCTTCCATCACAAGCAGACCTCGGTTCAAATACTATTTCAAATATCTCAAATACTTTCACTTACATTCAAAGTAAGTATTCAAATATATTTTATTTGAAAAGACAAGTCCCACTGGGCACACACTGGTTGAATCAACATTATTTCCACGTTAGTTCAATGAAATTACGTTGAACCAACGTGGAATAGACCTTGAATTGATGTCTGTGCCCAGTGGGGTGGTTGAATATTTTAATGTATTTGGAAATACACTTGGAAAGTATGTTACAGTATTTTCAAGTACTTATTTCAAATACTATTTTTAAATTCCTGGGTTAATTGCATGGGAGTTTATTTGAGTCAGTGTATTTGAAATACAATTTGGCAGACTATTTGGTTTTTACAAATAACCATTCAAATACTCAAATACAAGTACTTGTTTTGGGCTGTGTATTTGAAAATACTCAAATACACAAAAAAAGTATTTTAAATACCAGATACTCAAATACACATGTATTTGAACCCAGGTCTGATCACGAGGCATTCATTCACGTCTTCTTGACATTCCATAGGGCCCTGGGAAAGGCCATGTTAAGGAGGCCATCTTACATTTACATTACATTTTCGTCATTTAGCAGACGCTCTTATCCAGAGCGACTTACAAATTGGTGCATTCACCTTATGATAGCCAGTGGGACAACCACTTTACAATATATCTAATTATTTACATACCACAGATTATTGGCATCGTGAGGGAGCTTGTTCAACCATTGGGGTGCCAGAGCAGCGAACAGTTTTGACTGGGCTGAGCAGGAACTGTGCTTCAGCAGAGGTAGGGGGGCCAGCAGGCCAGTGGTGGATGAACGCAATGCCCTCGTTTGGGTGTAGGGACTGATCAGAGCCTGAAGGTAAGCACCATGGTCTTGTAGCAGATGCGGCACCTCCGTACCTAAACTCATAACTGAGAGCTGTGAGTCAAGGGGGTATTTCGCGATAAGGTAACTATGTTAATAACTTCTGGCTCCGACTAGATTCCCCCCCCACCTCCCCCCTCCTCTCCTCTCATTTCCTTTACTCTCTGGACTGTGATCAACGCGGCTGCACATTGTCATTTTTGACGAAGCTCGATTTTACCCAAGCAAAGAAAAGAGCTAAAGAAATGTATTATAATGAACAAAAGGGGAGTGGGCAGTAGCATAGGCTTAGAGAGAAACAAAGAGACAGAGAGAGAAACAGAGAGAGAGACAGAGGGAGACAGAGAGACAGAGAGAGTGAGGGAGAGCTAGTGCGACTGTAGTGGAGGAACCAATTTCCATGGAAATGCCCTAGGGGGAGTTGTGCTCCAGTAAATCCACTTCCCCACAGAATGGTACAATCTTATTATAGAGCAGCCAGTGGGACGCAGGCAGGCAGCGGATCTTTCACATTGCCCAAAGTCAAGCTCCACATCCCATTCAGCACATTGGCTTGGCTGGGGCCTCAGCACCACTAAAGCCCCTGACCTCTGGCTCTCAAAACTGAAGAGATCAGGGGAGGAAAAAGAAGAGAGGGAAAAGAGAGGAATAGAGAGGAATAGAGAGGAAAAGGTCCAATGTCTTGTGTTGAGCCCTTAATAAGTCCACTCTGTTCCCCTACAGATATCCCGGCGTGGCCATCAGATTCTGGCCACAATGAGCTTTAATCTCACCATAGCTATAGGAAAAAGCAGTGGGAAAAGTGGAGGATGCAGAACTAACTTCTTTAGAGTCCTATATGTATTTGTCTTTGTAATAAGAGTGCATCTGTGTGAGAATGAACAGTATGTGTGTGCTGCATGCTTTATGTGAACATATGCTGTCTCAGAAATGCGCTTCCATACTCCTCTATCTGCATAATAGAAAAATAAGGCATATCTCATGCTGACGGTAAATCAATGCCTTTGTGCAGACATGTGAATTAGAGTATAGCAGTCGTGGGGCATTTGGAGTTTCAAATTGCATAGGAGTTACCAGCTGCTCCACACAAGGTATGGGTCCAGACAGGGAGAGAGGACTGCAGCATTCATCTCTCAGCACTGCCACTCTATACTAAACGTTTTATCTTGCGCCACTGACAGGCTCCTCTGGCAAGAGGAGAGAACAGAGAGAGTGGACGGGAGAACTACTCAGAGAACACTGGGCTGGGACATAGAGAAATGCCTCCCGGGTTACCAGGGGCACTGTATTTGGCTTTTCTCTCTGGCTTTTCTCTCTGGTATGACCAATATGTGTGAAATGCATCAGAAATGACTGCTGACATACAGTAGGTTTTAGTTGAGCTGGGGAAACATTCAGATGATGGAAAACATTGAAATATTCAGAGTTCACAGCCAGAGGTGCAGTTTGGTGTTTTAGAAAGATCAGTGAAATTAACACTGCAGTAGAGTGGGTGTGTTGACCTCCTGTTGCTATGGCTA